CTTTGCTTTGGGAGGGCTCACATGGGAACTCTTGCTAAATGTCCTGCTATATTTTCCAGGCAGTAGGTTGTTATGGGTCACAACAGCTCCCAGTCTTAGCTCCCCCAGTGTTGCTGCATTATGTATTTATTTAAATATATTTAACCCAATTCTATATAGTTTTCTGGAAAGGAAACCAGTCAAGGCAGAAGACTGGTGCATCCACAAGAAAGCACAACTGCAAACCACTTAAAGCATAGTAAAATGCTAAACAGCCTCTTAACACATGATTTTCACAAGGCCAGATCAAGATTTTCCTAAACCCTTCCTGAACGCAAAAAGGCATCCACTTTTACCATCCCCAGGCAGCATAACCAAGAGCTGGGGATGATAGGAGTTCTAATCCAACAACATCTGGAGATTCAAAGCAGGAAAACACCCATGTTGGAATTGCCACTTTACCATGAAGTGCCGCTGGAAATCTCGTCCAGTCACTAACTTGCCACAATAGACACTACAGGATTGTTGTGTGATAAACAATATGCACCAGCACACGTTCCCCCCATGTCTCTTGGATGAAGGGTAGGCTGAGACCAATCAGAAGCATTGGTCAAATTAGTCTACTGTGCCTACGAACAAATGAGAACCGTACTTTGCCACTACACACTAACTCTCATGTCAGTGAGCTAAATCTGTCCCTCAAACCCTTGTATTTTACTTCTTCGTTAGCATCAAAGGTCACCAGTGAATGGGCTAATTTCTCCCCATTTCTCTTTCTTCTTGCTTAAAGAAAATAAGTGCATGCCAAGGCTTAAAGACCACCCATCCGCCTCCTCTTCCCAGGCAAGAGGGAGAAAATGAAGGGGTTGGAACCGCTGTAGTAGCATTGATACCTTAATAGCCTTCGTAGGGCACTTTCCTTCCAACTGATTGTCTTTATAAAACGGGGGAGTTTTAAAACATTTTTAGCATGGAGGACAGGGTTTGCTGAAGTGTATTTCTTATTTTTACGCAAACTTGCTTCAGCCTCGTGTGACTTGTGCACTCCATTTTCATCATCATCTAAATCTGTGTGTGGTTGCCAGGGATTATTACACCCTTCCCTTTAAAAGTTCTGGCATGCTGAAGAAGCAGCAGCTTGGCCCATTGCTCCGGGCAAGGAAATGCTCTCTGGAGCTTCTCAAGAGATCGGCACCATCTCTTGATGGAAACCAGAGCAGCTGAGTAGCACTTGTCATGGTGGGGCACCATCGTGGAAAACCTTGGACCCTTGCCTGCTAAGTCTGTTGTGGTGAGATGCATATTCAGGCACAGAGCAGGGTGTTCTTTGGTGAGCCAGCCTGCAAGAGACTCTGAAGGCAAGCTGCTTGGTCCCCCATCCGGGCAACCTTCCCTCCAAACTGTTTTAAGGAAATAAATCCCGTGAGTCCACCCTCCAACACAGCAGCATCTTCCACTTGTGGCTGAGACTGGGAACTCCTGCTCTGCAGTACCAATTTGCCGGCTGTGCAGATGGGCCCTCATAGTAAAATATGGAAGACTGGCTCCTCCAAAACCGGGAACTGCTTTTATCAAAATAGGAGAGGCATCACTTCTAGGCTGGGCAGTCAATTGCCCCCACAATCCCGCACAAAGGGAGGAGCCAAAGCAGCCCAAACACAATTGCCCAGCTGCCACAGCTCAGTCCTCCCCCCCTTCTACCTTTGTGTCAGCCTCTGTGCTTTCGACCATGCGGGACTCCGAGGCCGATGCTTGGATGGCTGTGAGCAGAACCTCCTTCCTCTCTGGCCCAGTCTGTTTTCTTTAAAGGGCATAACCACTTGGTGATTTTAATATTTAATATAGTGAATAATTATTTATTAAGCTTTATCAACATTTATTCACTATTTAATATATTTATTAAATTTATTTTGCATCTCTGCCTGGGATAGGCTCAGGGGCAGGAATCCAATTAAAAAGGAATGTGAATAAAGGTAATACCGCAGGACAGGTCGCATGATGATGACCACTGGCCCACCTTCACCATGTGAGCTGCATGGCTGAGTGATCCTTCGAACCCAGGCCTCTCCTAGTTCAGCACTCTAACCAGTGTACCACATAGCAATGACCATTCAGATTACACAGAGCGGAGCCCAAAGAATAATTTCCTGCTATTTTGCCCTGGGTCCCATTTTAGGCAGTTTAATGTTTGCAGGCGTGCCCAGACTTTATCTGGTAGCCCAAGGACTAGGTGGAGCTATTAGACTGCACAGCACAGCTAAGCATCCCTGCAGTCTTCTCTCCACAAAGCAAAGCCATTCTTTACATTCTTAGAGTGGTTTTGCCCTGAGATTTTTTTCCAGGGAGGACCTAATTATTTGGGGGCAGAAAAAAAAAACCTTTGCACGTGCTCAGGAACAGAGTGATTGCAGCAGTCAGGATGCCTGTTTCCACTGTCTGTCTTCTCTAACGTTTATGACTGGCCTTAATCCTTATCAGAAAAGGAGGAAGAGAAATCCTCTGGCCGCCACGGCTTTGCAGCAGGGCAAGAAAAGCCGAACAATCACACCCCTAAACATATGTACTTGGAAGGATGCCTACTTTGTTCAAGGGGCAGTATCTTAGGTTCTTGCTGTGCCAGCGCAACAGGGAGCTGCTGTTTTTAACCCAACAGAAAACGAGCAGAAACAGTCATTTCTGGCATAGAAACTCTGCTGACTTTTCTCAGTCTGGAAATGAGCATTTCTGCAGTTTCTCTAGGTAGTCCTAATGCGAGGGTCTGCTTGCATAACAGAACAGTCACATGCCAACAGTACTGGATACTGCCGGTTAGGCTCGACCCACCTGATACTAAAGCTAGTATAACAGAATGTTATCAGCTGTGTACTAAAGTTAGCATAATAGGAGGCTTTGTGTGTTGAGTTAGCATAATAGGAGGCTTTGTGTTTTAAATAAGTATAACAGGAGGTTTATCAGCTGCCCCAGGCATACACAGAGTGTTATCAGAAAATGGGCAAGGTTTATCAAAGGCGAAAAACTTAAAAGGATAGGCTAACTGCAAACCGTCTCACTTCTGTATCATGCTAGCTCACTTAGGATGCCAATAACAATTTTCCATTTGTTTGTAACAAGGTATAAAAACTCCGCTGTCCCTCTACTGGGGGCCCGCACTCATCCCATCCTTGTGTGAGAGTGCTGGTCCCTGCGCAGGTAATAAAAAAACTCCGCTTAAAAATACCAACTGGTCTCTGGTCTCATCTGTAAAACCGTGGGACACAACACTGCCCAGTGAGATTTAGGTTGCAATTCTAAAAGCATTTATTGGGCCCTTTGGACAGTATGGGGTTTATTTCCAGGTAAACATGCATAGGAGCGTGTTCTTTGTGGCTGAACAGTGGGCTTAGGACTGCAGGCTCTCAGCAGTCGTTCAGAAAATGAGTTTGGGGGGGTTACCTGCAGGCAAGTGCTGATCGGAATACAGTCTTAGAAGGCAGTTTGGGGCTACTTTGGAACTGCCAACCCTAACCCTAAGTGCGGGTCTTCAGGAAACAGTTTCCATGGGCTCCTGCTCAACACACTCCCTCTTGGCCTGGCCCAGTTTTCAGGACACCTGAAAGGGGTGGGGCTGGGGGGGGGTCCAGCTGTCACCAGATGTTTCATAGAGGTCTTTACCTGGCCAAGAGAAAGGCAAGAGGGCCAATTTCAGGATGACTGAAAGTGCACCGTGTGAAATAAACAGATTCATATGAAACAAATAAAGGGATTCTTCGTATTTGTTCATCTTGCAATCTTAACATCCATCATTTTAACATCCATCATTACTACAGTTATAATCTTGCTTTATCATTATGGAATTTATAGATCTGTTCAAAGACTGAGAAATATATCTGATACTGGAAAGGTGAAATCACAAGAATTATGAGTTATGAGTAATCACGCCATTCAGCCTAATCAGCCAATATGTAAATATAGCAAGCGGGCTTTTAATATTAACTATAGCTACTTTTAAAACATTTTGGCACACTGTAGTCTATTACTCTATATGCTGAGGAGATGGAGCTATGCTGCGTCAATATAATGAAGCAAGACCGTTCCGAAGGCTGGTCCGCACACTCCCTTGCGCAGCAGGCGCTTGTTCCTGTAAAGGAGCAGCAGGTGTGCTCCCCCTTCCCCTTTGGCCTGTACAGGCAATGTGCAAAGAAGGCAGCGACTGGATCCTGACAGGCATCTGTGTGGGTAACCTGCATGACCATGCAAGGACAGGAAAACCATGTCTTCTTCAGGAACTGGCACCATGGAGCACACAGCTCCACAGTCGTTTGCAGGCATGGGGGCGGGGGACTCCTGAAACTGCCCAGAAGTGGGGGAGAAGCCCCTCCCCCCTGAAAATTTGGTGGCATGCACTGGTAGGGGAGAAGTGCGAGCCCTGATGGGGGCAATGCAGACTCCGATCACTAGCAGTTGCCCAGCCCCAGTTTAATGCTTTCCATTGCTTTGCAGCACATGCATCAAGTGCACACTTCCATCCCTTCTGCCTCTTGGTACGGATGGGAACTTGTATTTCCATCAGGCATCTGAGGCTCTCACATGCAGGCTTCTCTTGCACACTGCTAGACTCATGGAACAGTTTTCTTGTGTATGATTACCAGCCTCTGGATTGGGCCTGGTACCTGCTTTTTGCCATACTGTTTAACCTGTTCTCATATAATTTAATCAATGCATTTCTTACAGCCCAAGCTTGCTTTACTCAAAAGTAATCTCCACTGTATACATAGGGTCACAATTTTAAGCAATCCAATGAATGCTTACTTGGGATTAAACACTAATTTGGGCTGTTAGTCTGTCTTCTGATCTTTGATATTTAATCTGCCCAAAGGCAGATCCAAATTCCAGCTGTTTTGCCTGTTACTTTCCAACAATGCATTAATTCATGATTCTACCAAGGATACCAATGACATATATTCAGTTCTGAAGTTTCCCCTAAAAATTATAGTTTTTCCTTTAGTTTCTCCTTTAGTGTCAGTTCTCTTCAACATTCTTAATCACTTAGTTTTTTTCACATTTTGGATCTCTTTCCAGAGGTCAGACATCAGGGTGAGGCTAAGCAGCTGAACCATGAAATCTTCAAAGTCAAGTTGGTCATTCTTGTTCTCGTCCAGAGCAGAAATTATTTCCTGGTATTTTGGTTTTGTTTCTTGGCCCTGCAAAGGAAAGTGAAGCATTTTGTGGCAAAATATGGAATGCACTATCGCCACTTCTAATGACAGCCATACACCAACAAAACATGTTTCCTAGGAAAGTTGTGGAATCCAGGGCCCAGTGAAGGATGGGTCCCTCGCTTAGCTTAATAAGCAGGGCTTAGTAAATGAGTTTTTTGCCTACACACAAGGCCACTTTGTTCCTTTGTATAAACCATGATTAAAGCAAGAAGTTTCTAATTAACCACTGTTTCCGATTTATTTAACTGGGAAACTTTGATCACCAGCTTCAGACCAAGCCAAGGTGCTTTAAACCAAACTGGCTTGTTCTGAGACTGTAACCATGGTTTCCTCAGTTCAGATAAAACAGGGAACTATATTACTTGGAGACTTCCTAGTTTGTTTGCTTACACTGCAAAAGGCAAAAGCTCTCATATCTTCGCTGAAGTTAGGTGTGATAATCTGAACATGATCATTGGGTAGCAATTGCAAGAAACAATCAGATGAACAACATAAGAAAAGAACCAAGCAATTAGTGGGAACAGATTAACTTCAAATCACATCTAACTATTTTACCAACACTAAGAAGGAAAAGGCTTGAAATGGGAGTTCTGTAGTCTAGACAGCAACGAGGTCTTGCCTTGCACATCCGGAATTGCACTTCAGACAGCAGTGGATGATGGAGCAGAACTTCCCGAACACATCTCAGTGGAAGAGGGTGCTCCTTTAAGCATTCTGGCTCCAATGCATATAGGGCTTTAACGGTGATAATCAGTCTGAAGTGGACTGGGAAATGCTTTAGGTCTGAACCTGACAGATATACAGGAATGGGTTCTTAAACCGTAGGGAGCATCACCTCCTCACTAAACCTTGAGAGCTGGATTCAAACTCCGTACAAGTGCTGGTCATGCACCAGTTTCGTGAGCCAGGTAATGCACAGCTCTGTGGCAAGGCTGTATGTAGCAGTGTCCCGGGGTGTCCTCAGGCAGAGGCAGGGGTGCACGACCTCTTTGGCCCCCAGGGCCACATGCAGTACCTATCAAGGTGGTGCTGGCCACTCATGTGCATACACACAGTAGCAAGAACTCTTAGTCTTGTAGCAACAGCGCCCATTCCATGTCAGGCGTTAGGGTGCTGAAGCCCCCTTCCTGGCCCAATCACAGAAAAAGAGGGAGAAAATGCTCTGGTTACAGGGGTTGTGGCTTCTGCCCTGGAAGCTTTATTCCTGGAGCATAAATTTTTGCACCCCTGTCCAAGGAGAGGGAAGAGAGAGTCTAGAATGTTAGTGTTAATTAAGGAGACATTGTTCATAGGTATTTTTCTCCTAGACCATTTTACTACATGCTGCTTGCTTTAAATGTCGCATACACACACCCCTCGGAAATGCCAGCCAAGCCGTCCTCCATGGAGTCTTTTAAGGGAAGTTTTAGGCTGGATCCCTCTCAGTTCCCTGGTTCTATGGAACCTCAGATAACAATCCCTTTCAGGAATAAGAGGCCTCAAGACAAACTCATTTTTATCCTCTTACCTGCATGAAATGCATAAACTGAGTTTGTAGCAGATTTTTAGCATCAGATTTGCTGAGCTTCCCATTCGTGTCTGCTGCATTATCGTAAACCAAGGCTGCTGTTGCAACAGCCTTCTCAAGATCAGTGCCTTTGCTTAGAGCTGAGGAGGAAAAGAAGACGCGGGAGTGCAATGAAAACCGTTTCCTTGAAGCAGTGGAGTCCAGACTTTGCCAGACTAGAGCACACACAGCAGAAATGGACCTGACGATACACGCATGTATGTGGCCGGAGCCAGGGAAGAACAGGTTGCGGGACTTGAGGGAGGTCCTGCATGTTCTCCGAGTGACGTGATGTCTTGCAATGTGCCTATACAGTAAGAGTGACAGTACTCCGATTTGCACACTAAGTTCAGGTTATAATTCAGGCCTATGGGAAGCCTGAGGTTTGGAGCTGCCACCCTTTGATTCCATAACTATTACCCTTCTGGGTGCAGGAGTCAAAGGGTGAAATCAGAACAGGGCAGGAACCTGGAAGGTAAGGACCAGTGTGGAGCCCAACGGCGTGCTCTCCAGTGCATCCATGGACACCTCCAGGCTCCATCTAGGCTCCCTACCCTTCCAAACATTTTAAAAATTACATTTTTAAAAAGCTAGAAGGTTGGCATGCCTTGAAGCAAAGGTCTGCCTTGCAACATGATTTGTATGTTCTTACTACATTACATTTTTATCCAACCTGTCTTCTACTTTCAAAGAACTCGAGGTGGCTTACGAAGTTCTCCTCCTTTCAGTTTTATCCTCTCAACAACAGTCCTGTGAGGTAGGCTGGGCTGAAAGGCTGTGACTGCCCCCAAGTCACCCAGTGAGCCTCATGGTCTTGTTGATGTCCCTGCTAGCCAGGTGACTTACAGACCCACTAAACCAAGTGCCAGTGAGGTCCAGTCAGGTGGAGATTCGTTCAGTTTCGGCAGAACCTGGTGGAATTGTGAATGCACCAGAGTTTCATGACATAGCTTTGGAAGCTATCTAGCCTTTGTCACTTTGTCAAACTACACTAGGGTTTATTTCATGTTTATCTTGAATAGCCAATAAAAATGTTATGCAGGTTATAAGGATGATTTTAGTGATCAAATCAGTAAAATACTGGTTAATGGAAGCACTTTATAAAGAAGCAAGGTCAGACGTAAAGGAAAAGATTGTGCTTATATATTGCCCCTTAAGGGACAAACTAGATGTGAAGTTGAATTCATTGCAGTGACGTGCTCTCACTCCCCACTGCAGCTTCCTTTTTTTGCAGCCAGCCTTGGTGGTTGTTTTTCTGCATGCTTTCTCCACAGTGCCCAATTATGCTTCTCTAGATTAAGCTTGATGTATTCCCTGGATGGCTTCCCATCATCCTTTGGGCCTTACGTTACTGATGGGAAATGAAGGACTCTTTTGTGTTGCTGCCTTCGCAGGATTTAGAATAAGAACTTAATTTCCCTTTGGGGAAGCCGTCTCCCATCTGTCACTGGGCCCTGTTTGTGATCAGCATGCCATGGCGAACGGAGGACATGGAAGGCAGAGCACCCTGAAGTCTGAACTCTGTGGGACTGGTTGCGCAAATGCTCGCTCAGTCCAATGTATGTGAAAAAGAACCCATGAGAAACGCCAGTCGGGATGTGAGGAGTTAATCTCATAGAAAAGAGAAGTCCCATGGGGCTCAAACATCAGGGGAGCATCACAGTAAAAACCAGTGGCTTGGGCTAAGGCCTGGCTGGCCCGCATGGTAAAAAGCCTTGGTCGACCCCTGAGCTGGCTCACTGGACTGCACGAAGGTCGCAGTGGTGGACCGCTCCCGAATGCTCTTCCAGTATTTCCAAAGAATCTCTGCAAGTTCGGTAGGGGGAAATGAGCACATCCAAGAGAAAATATCTAGACCAGCTGACCCTTTCCCACTTTCATAGAGTTTTCCACCTAGCAAGGATTGAGGAAAGGGACCCGGAAGCTAAAGTGGTGTGGTCTGCTCTGCCCGCTTCACCTGCGGCAGAAGTAGGTCAGGCCTAAATAATTCAAGGCTGGCTGACAGATGGAGCAGCTCCCCTCCCAAGCCTCCTGCTCTGGCTTTTGCCTCCCGGGAGCGCCCTGCTCACCCCTCCTTTGGGTGAGTCCAGTAAAAACGGCATAATGCCTGGCTCTGACCGCTGTTTGTCTTGCTTCTCTTTGGCCTGCTAACCTTGCTGTACTTCCGTCACACACCCAGGCGGGTGATGTGTCCCAACTTATTGTCCAGGGGGACTGCAGAATTGCTGCAGAGCTACAGCATTCACTTTGCAAAACCTTGAAGGAAGAGAGGGAATCCACCTGGAAGTAGCGGTCTCAAGCTTCTCATGGCGACCAAGAAAGAGGGGCTTTTGAACGAGCCTGATATGTGTCCTGCTGGTGATGGGTGAGTTACTGCACTTGATGCTGTTCCCCAGCCGGGAAAATGAATGGGGGTATGGAGGGAGCAGGGGGAGTCGGTCGCCTTACCTTTTATAGAAGCCAGCTGCTTTGCTATTGGAATACTGGAAATTAAACAAATACACAATTACTGGCATATCGTGGTGCTTGCTTTTGCTAGAAGTGGATTTTGGTTCTTTTTCTGTTGCAGGGCATGGGTCATGGGTTACCTTTGGTGGGAGCTTTGAATACTGGGGTGATAAATCTCTCGTTTCTCAACATTGTTCTCAAACGGAGAAAAGGCAGCTTCACGTATCCGTTTCTTCTGCATGCAATAATGATGTATCTGTACAATTTGCATCTGCACACACATACACACACTCACTCTCATATGCATGTGCACACATATAGCAAGCACTCATTCATTGCTTTGGGTAAGACTTACTTTGGACATGTATGGCTTCCTGAGCCTGGGTATAAAAGTTATTCAGGAGTTCAGGGGCAATTCCAGGCAGAGGCAGCTCTCTAGCAGGGCAACGTTTGGACATAGCAGGACTCAGTGCTGCAAGTTTCTCTTCTGCTCCCTCCTCAGGTGTGGCTGGGAGGGTTCCAGAAGTTTGTGCTTCTGCTTCAGACTACTCATCTCAGCACCCAGGAAAACTGTTGTTAGACTTAAGCATGGTTTCTTGAAACAAAGCAATATAGGGGGAGTCCTATGGCATCCTGAAATTGTGCCTCCTCCCTGAATGGCTTGGGGGCAGGTTATCCGAAGAAATGCCTTGTCCCATATGCACCTACCCAGACCCTAAGGTCTTCTGTGGGGGTCCTTCTCCAAGAGTCCCCTCCAAAGGAAGTACGGAGGGTGGCTACCAGGAGAAGGGCCTTCTCTGCGGTGGCACCTCGACTATGGAATGAGTTCCCAAAGGAGGAGCACCTGGCGCCTTCACTGTATTCTTTTCGGCACCAAGTGAAACTCTTTTTATTTTCCCAATATTTTAATGATTAACTTTTAAACTTTAGTTAACTTTAATACTGAATTTTGTCCTGTACCACTGCTATACTTCTGGGCCAATTTGGCTGCAATTGCTGTGGGTTCATTGTTTTCTGTTATTTTTTTTTCTGTTTGTTTCTTGTGTGTTTTTAATTTTTGTTAACTGCCCAGAAAGCCTCAGCTATAGGATGGTATAACAATAAAATAAATAAATAAATGTTCTGCTTTCAGTTTTGTAGCATTGTTATTTGCGGAAGAAAAAAGGAAGGAGCGGAGATAGCAGTCAATGTAACGGGTCACTAAGAATAATGTGATAGCAGGCACAATTTCTATGCATGCTTTAAACATCCTGCAGTGCTTTCTCAGCATTACCCCAGCCAGCAGTGCGGCAAGTCGTAGGATTTTTTTCCCTTGTCTAAGCTGCAATGGTGTGTGTGTTTTGAGATTTTAAACACACGCACCTAGTAGCATTTGTGGCTTTTGTATTTTGCAATGACTGCCGATTGCTTAGACCCCTCAGCACAAAATGTGCAGTTTCAGGCCTGATTATGGGATTCTGGAGGATGCATTGGACAGGGCAAGAAAGGAAGGTGTGGATCTTGGACAAGCCAGGCCCCAAATATCAAGATCCCAGCACACCCCCTCCTTGGGGACTCTCAGCCTTCTCCATGCGCTCCCCATGATGGATGCCAAGGCCTTTCCAAAGCTGCCTCATTGCCTTGTTTGGGGTGACGACATTGGGAAATGATCTGGCATAGCACTGTGAAAGAGGCTGTGAGGGATTCACCAATATTTGGTGGCAGACCATAAATACATGGCTCAGATATTGCAAGAAGTATGGGATGCACATATGAAAAATACAGTAATAGCAAATTGCTCTTGGAGGATTTTCCTGTTCTCCCTCAGGCTTTCAGATTTTAATAGAAAGTTTGATTACTTTTGCTAAAGTGCTAGAAACTCATTACAGCCCAGCCCACAAGCTGTGAAACCTTTGCTTTTTCTCTCACAATATGCAGATCATATCGGGGAGTGGGGGAGTTATTTGAGAGGAAAAGAGAGCAAGAGGATCACTTACCGTTTGGACATTTTTGCTGGAGGTACTTTTGTCCCTTTGGTTGAGGAATCATTCCCTGGTTGATTTACAGGATATGAATCTGTGTTCCCCTTGCTTGATGTACAGCCACACATCTTCCTTTGCAGCGTGTGCACTGCCTATGATCTCTAAGCAACTTAAGCAATCGCAAACAGAAAAATGCCAGCCTTTGTTTGGGGAAAGGTGAAGGTGGCCAGCCAAACCTTTGCATCACAGAAACACGCCCTGGTCATTGAACTGCTGCTTAAATAAATCAGTCTGAAGAGAAATATCTGAGATCAGGAGAGATACAGGGAACACATCAAACTCAGAGTCTTGCCCTGCATGATACTAAAAGTGCTTTTGAATCTCTCTTGGGACCTTGAATGTGAAGCAAAAGGTGATGGTGCTGGTAGTGAGGAAGACATTGTCTCTGAAATAGTGCGTTCAAGCCAATGTGAGCGTTAAATTTGGATTTTAGGCTTGGGATATTCATAAAGCATGTTTAAGCTGCCGTCCTAAGCACATGTACGTGGAGGGAAATCTCACCGAACTCAGTGAAACTTAGGGACATGCCTGGTAAAGTTTGCAGCCTTAGTGACAGGTCTCAAAACACCTTCAAGACAGTAAACTGGGCCATGCACCTGAGCCCTCTGACCTGTAGAGTCAATGGCATTGCTTCTTTCTAGCTTCATGTTTCCCTTGTAAGAACAGAAACAGTTAGGATCTTATAGGCAAATTCCAGAGCAGCGGCTGTGCTGGCCTGCCGGAGCGGCTTAATGGACTGCCACACTCACTGCAGTACAAGCTTCCCTGTGCTGGAGTCCATTTTGTTAGGCACAAGCAGAAGAAAATGCCACACCAAATTCATTTGAAAGCCTTTAAGGTGTCAAGTGACAGAGTTGCTGTGGTAACCAATTTTCACTCTAAACTTGTGATGGACCTGGTTAATAATGGTCTAACACCATTAAAATACATGTTTGTCTTTAGTGAGTGCAACTAAGAAATGGTCCGCACCCCATTTTTGAATCAAGACCCAACATGGTACAAGAAGTAGATGAGCTTACTTGACTGGCTTAATATTCTGGCCTGTATGGACAGATAACTGGGACAAATAGCCCTGGGAGATGAGTAATTTATTGTACAGTGTAGTGAAATCCAGCCACTGAGTTTTATTTTCCCTTGTTAATTTACCAATTGCAGATCATGCAGTATTTCCAAGCAATCCTCCTCAGTTGGAAGGACTAGACTCTTCCTTGCTTTTTCTTAAAATCGAAGTTGAGATTCCCTGGATGCCACATCCTGGTTGTAGGTACTAGAATGCAAATGGTGGCTCAGACATTCAGAATTCATATCATTCTAATGACATGTGCTGTACTTTTGGTTTCTGAATTTGTAAATGCTAGCATAAAGGTTGGTTCTAAGAACTAGATGCTTCCCTTTGAACTTTGTTATTCATCAGTGAGGCTGGTGATATTTGAAACTGTTATCTCATATTTGAAAATGAAGTCCTCTAAAGGTATGAAATGGATTGCCTTGCAACTTGTGCCCTAGTAAATGTATTAGTTTTTACTCAATAGAGTAACCTTGGAGTATATTAAACATGTTAAAATCATACTGTCTATAGAATTACAAATAACAAATAAGAAAGGAATGATGCAATTTTATTCCACAACCCTGAAAAAGAACACCCCAAAGGTGTTTGTACATATCTTTATTACAATTGATTTTTAAACATCCAGCCCCATTTGGAGCCTTGTCAGGAATTCTCCCTGTTAAAATGAGAGTTATCCCCCCTGCCCCCAATAGTCTGACTATTGTGTTATAATATTATGTGTAGGCATTGGATTGTAGCTCATCAGTATATATTGTTAGGATTTGTGAAAGAACATTAAAATACGACTTCCAACCTGCAGTATAAAGTGGTACAGTTTGTTTATTGTAAGTGTTTTTATCCTGCTTTTGAATTTAATTTCAAGAGTGCTTTACAGAAAAGATTAAGACAATTAAAATTATAGTAGAAGTACGACGTTTTGAAAATGAGCATTTACCTTTTATCTGTTTTTATCACCCAATTCTATATAAGATGGCATTCCCATGCAGAGTCAAGGTGGCTGTGTAATGACTTGCACATCTGCAGCAGCTCAAACACAGCTTGAATGCAGCCCGCATCCTTCTGCCAGTGGAAGGATTCTGCTGGGGCAACAGGAGCTGAGTATCCTCTCTGCACTCCCCTGTGTGTCCTCCTAAGATGCTTCAGAGTGTAGGTGGATTCTTCGGGGGGCCTTGGTGTGAACCCCAGAACTGCAGGGGGCAGCAGAGGACTTGGAAGTCACCTGCTAGGGGAACAAGGAGGCTGGATTCTGCCCAATATTTCCACTGGGGGAGGTCACACATTCAGCAGTGGATTGTTGAGAACTTCTCAGAGAACTTTGGGTGGTCCAGAAATGAAATGAAAAGAGCACAACAAATGTTAAGTCCTGAGGCTATTAACACATCATGAAGTCCATGGAGATGTGAATCATTCCCAGACTGGGAATGTCTATCTAATTTGAGTTTTCAGTCTCGCCAGCGTCTCCTTTATTCAGGTTACAGTGCTGTGTGAAAGCCATCTCTTCACCTAAACCAGCTATGGCATGATGAACAATTACATTAATAAAAACTTTACATACATCTTTTAAATACATTTTTTCTATTTATCTAAAATTGCCCATAGGTTTTCAGTCTTGTCACCTTTCTGTCAAAGAAGTTGAAAGAAATCAGCTATCTCATTCAGCTTCACTTTGCCTCTCATTAGCTTCCTTTCTTTTTCCAGTGGGCAGAATCTCTTGCACTTCTGGCCTCCTTGGAATATTTTTCTGCTAAGCCAGGAACGTGCTGGCAAGCATGGTAAGTCACCTTTGCTAAGTTGACAAGGTACAGGCCTGAAACTGGATGGGTGACCATATGTGGAAGTAGAGGAGGGTGCTGGACTTGACAGTCTTATAGACCCCCCTCCCCTCCCCTCCCCTCCCCTCCCAGGCTACGGTCTATTACTGTTCTTCAAATGTTTCACTAGTATTTGCTGTGCATTAAGTACTAGTGGTTGAACTATCTGGAGTGACACTTTATGTAATGCGATGACACACAAAGAATGCAACAGATGGCCAAAATAATTAAAATGTTTTCCTTAATCAGTGAGAGTTAAATTGTTACTGAAGCAAAAATGAACATAGATGTTCATCACCTTTACTCTTCTTGGATTTTAATTCTCTTTTAAAGCCTAGAAAAGATTATGTGTTATCCTGTAACCCACAGCAGTTAACATGCCATCAATCAACTGATGCCCAACCCCCAATTCCAGTCCCAGCCCTTTTGGAAATGGTTAAACTTTCTTAGATTTCTGGTGCCTTCTTTAGTACAAGCTTATGAATAAGAGCCTGTAATTGCAGTTCCACTGCCAAAATACATGTAATCCATGCTCATTATCCCTTCAATTAACACACTTAAATTACACTGAAATTTATCTGCTCCCAGCTTGAAAACTAGAGAGAACTTTGACATCAAGTGTGAGTAATAATCCAGATTTTCCCATCAGCTGAACCCTGCAATGAGGCAAACAGCACTTTAGTTCTGGGGTCAGAGACGAGATGCCATGTCACGGATTGGCAACTCATGGCCTGCATATCACACACACTGCACACCACATGTGTCCTCTGGTCTTTTTTTTTTTTTTTTTTTTTTTTGTGGCCCCTGCATACTGCGAAATTCCTGCTGAAGTTTGGCGCAGCAGTGGCAAGATACTTCAGTTTTCAGCATGCCTTAATTTAAAGCTAAATCATACTCCAAGAAGTCCTGAGTGAACATGATTTTAATTTAAAATAAGTTGCACATTTGTTTTAAAAGGAGAAGGTGTGTGTGTGTTGGGGGATTGTTGCTGCGGTGCAAATTTTTGAGAAAATGTGCAGCAGCGACAGCCGCTTTGGTGGTGGAGTTGAGCATCAGTTCCAGGGTAGAGTTGTTCACTAGCTGAGAACGGAGCATCCTTTCCTTCTGGCTGCCTTCACGCCTGCTCAGGTGTGCAGCGCCTCTCGCTGGCACTGAGAGTGCGGCCAGCCATGCGAGTGACACATCTGGTGGGAAGAGCACCATTCGCCTCATGGGCCTGGAATTTTGTCATGCCTGCTTCTAATAGAGGAGGAGGTTTCTCTGTCCTCCTGCTATGGGATATGCATCTCTTATTAATGAAACAATAAAAAACTATTAATGTGTACTCTGAATGCGTATTCAGTTAGTAAGTGTTCAATAGCATAATAAAAATGTATGGATATAATCCTGCTTTTCTTGCAGAAAGCATCCATGAACCCATTGGGACGCAATTCTCAGTAGGCATGCTAAGGATTGCACTATCAGACTTTTTCAGAGAGGGCCATTTGAGGAAAAAATGCTTGAAAAAATAAGACACAAAGATGGGGAAAATGAAGGGTAAGCTAGAGTAGCTCTTCCAATCTGTGCCGTTGCTTCCCTGCAAAAAAACCTGTAAAATTTCAGCTGTATCATTAGCCTGAGGTACTTGGAGCCCCAGAAAAGACACTTAAAGTGGAACTTCTTCTTTAGAGTTGCTAGATTCTTTTGGTTCCGCTAGGTCTTTCTTAATTCCCAGAAATGCCTGAAAAGGAGACTGCTGTACATTTCTTCCAAGAAATGGAGGGGAGGCAAGAAATTTATCCCTAAGGGCACAAATCTACAGCCTCTTGTGATTGTCTCGGGCAGTAGGCCCAAGAGCCCTGCCTCTCTTACAGTTGGCCCAAAGGAAGCCATTGCAGCACCCTTGCCATGAGAATAACTGGGGCTCAGAGGCCACGAGGGGAGGAAACCTGAGTCATTGGCTTATGCCAGTCATGTTGACAGAACACAAATTCCATTCACTGATACATTTATTTGTTATATTTGCATTCTACTCCATAGCCCACAGGGCCCTCTGGGTGGTTTACAGAATAAAAATGTATTTACTGATGTGCTCTATATTACTCACTATGTATTAGAATACTATTTTGCCTCATAAAGATGGAGAGCATCTTGTGTAAGTACCGCTCCTTCCATACAATCTGCCCTTTTTCAACATGTCTCCCCGTCA